TGGAATAGCTGTATGCTATCGCGCTGGAAATAGTTGTAAATGGTGGTTATTGGTGCTTACCTTGCGCTGCAAAGGTTCAACTCCTGGAGGCGTGTTTGTGGTGACAAAAATGTCCAGTGAACGGCGAATTTGAAAAGACTTTATGTCGTAAGGAAGTTCCAATTCACTGTCACCAGAATGATAAGGCGCCTTATCAGAAGGTCTTAGATGTTTCACAAAAAATCTGGAATTTCAAAATTATATTTTAGGAACTCGTCTTTTATTGAGCATAATTTAACGCGTTGGTCCAAGAAACCGAGTGTAAGGAATTTTCATTAAAATGCATTTCTTTTTGTTTATAAATGAGACCAGCTCAGAAAATTCAGCTATCGAAATCTTCGAATACTTTTGGTCCTTCAAATTAGAAACTATGTGCCAAAGAGAAAACGACTTCTGACTGAGACTTTTCTAGATTTTTTTTCTTGTCAAAAATACTGACGTTACGTTTTCAGAACTTTTATCGCTAGCCGCTCAATCATACCTTAAAATTTCACCTTGCTTGTCGATAAAACCTGACACATTTCCAGAAGATCACATTGTAACTTTGGAGTGAGGTAAACTTTCCTTGCGCAATTTCTTTATATAACCCTTGCAGCTCATGGGAATGCTATTGGACTCGTGCAATCACTTTTTCCATTGATAAATTTCCTATTCTTCGATTCAGTATACGTCACAGCGGCCATCTTGGATGAACTTCAACAAAGCATTTCTCATTAGTATCTATTGTTTAKTCCTCCAACATGGCCRCCCGGMCCTCCCYAACACACAAGGCATGATTTTCACTTGTGATAAATTCTTTTTCTAGCGTACCGATTTTTATATCTCTCATTTGTTCAATTATAAAATTTCGGTATGATATATCAATATAAATAGGCAGTCGAAGACTGCATGTGACTCAGGCCAAAAGATTCATTTTACTTCGAGTTTAATGGGTTACAAAATGGCAATTCTAAATTGAATTGCTTTCCTTGGAAGTGGCTTGACCACAACACGGACCTGACAAAGTCACTCTGAAACCATAAAAACTCCGTTTGAACGGTGATAGAAAGATCCACAACGCATTTCACTCTTGGAATGCACAAGATCTCATTATAGTCTGTTATAGTCCAGGAATTTTGTTCAGTATTTTTTAAAAAAAATGTCTTTAGTTAATTAAAGCTAATTAAAGATACTTTACTGTATTTAGGTTCAGGTATTCTTCCTTTTGACCAAATTTCGTTGACAATTCAAAGCTTCATCACCGCTCGGCATAGCATACAATCGACGTGGCACTTAGGATTTTTCTCTTCTCTGTCCAGGAGGTCTGTCCAGAGACGAGAAAAATTTTTCCGTGAAAATTAGATGTCCGGGAGTCAAAATAATTTACTAAAATAAATCTAGTCTAATCAAAAGATACTTTGCTGTATTTAGGTTCAGGTATTCTCTCTTTTGACCAAATTTCGTTGACAATTCAAAGCTTCATCACCTCTCGGCATAGTATACAATCGACGTGGCACTTAAGATTTTTCACCTCAAAGCTATTACCCCGTTGAGTCGCCTTAAACGCTAGTCTTATTTGAAATCGTACTTTATCTAACCCGATCTCATTTTAAGGTCCATAATGTCTCATAAATCATTGGGAACTAAATAAAACACAAGCGATTGCATTTCTAATTCTAGAACGCCGAAGGTTGTTTTTGTGAGACTTAAACGTGCCGGCTACGAACTCGATTGCAATGCCACCCCCACCCCATCCCCCTCCCCTTTCTCATCTCTCGCCCTCTCGCTCTCGCTACTGGAACGTCGTGCAAGTACTACATATGATAATTTTTTGAACTTCGCGTTGATTGGCTCGCTGCTCCCTAAGGATTATGGTGACTTCATATATTAGCATAGAACTTCGCCGAATAGACTATCCCGATTAGGTGTTCGTTATCTATAAGTGTCTTCATAGTACGATGGTCTAAGAGGTTAGCTTAAGGTATGCTCTAGTGGGCGGCTACCCCCTCACTCCCTGGCCTTTTGGTTAAGACTAAGTTTTATGTTCACTCGGGATAGCGTGGAAGRGCCGAAATCTCTAACCGTAACGTAAGCCGATTCGCCGCCTCAGCTTCATACAATGTCTCGGGGGAATCGTCCCATCTTTTTGTTTTTTTTATTTTCATTATTTCTTATGTATGGCCGGGGGGTGCACCTTCTACTGAAGTGAAAGTCCCGAGTTCGAGTCCTGCCGTTGGAATTTCTTTTTTTCCTTTTTCTTTGCTTGTTTATTGTTTCTTGGTTTGATTCATTTTTTCTTTTCTTCTTTTCTTTTCTTCTTATTCTTTTCTGTTGCTACTTTGTTTGTTTTTCTCTAGAGATATTTTTCTTTTCAACTTATCAGAGGGTCTCAATGGAGTGGTACGCAATCACGACTCGCGGCTGAAAATTTGGCGATTTCACGACTCACGACTAATTTTTTCGAAACACGGTTAACTAGATTACTTTCAGAAATTTTGAAAATACGTTTTATTATAATTTTTTATCATCACTAGTCACATGTCAAATTTCGGTTTAAAGGAACTATGTCAAAGCTAAAAATTGGCGTAAACGAAATGCCATTTCTTCCAAGGTTGGTGCGAGTGCAATCACATGGATTGTGATGTAAAAACAGAACTCAAGATGCAATCAGGAGCATCGAAAGTAGTGAGGTACTACGATCCTAGAAAAGATCATCTTTGATCGTGAAAACGCTGTCTCCCTGAAAACAAAGAAAAAAAACCCAAGTATCTTTAAAAATGTGTCTATTTGGTCAATTACTAATCGCCATTATGATTATACCTACACAGGAAGATCACAATACGATGAGTTGGTGACTATAAAAGGTCGACCTGCCTGTATTTCCTTAGAGATTTGCTCTCTAAATTGAGCCATGTCTTTCTAAAACAAAGCAACAAAGAAAGATACATCTTTTGTGATTGATCAGATTATCATATGAAAACCTTTGGGAAATATGGTCAAAGGGTGGGGGCCGTACGCCTTTTCGCCGTACAAACCCATATTTTCCCGGCTTGAAGTTCCGCGCTTTTAATATTATTTTAAGTTTACAATAAAAAATGCTGTCATATGATAAAATGCTTATTGAACGAGTTACGTCGGGCCGTACGGGAAAATATTTGGCGGCTCGAGGTTATGCCGTACGGAACTCGGTTCAATGCTTTGTTCGTGGTCAATGAACCTGAGTATGGAAAGTCGTCAATTGGAATGAAGCTCTAGTTTTAATACACATGGGAAACTCTTCTTTTCGATCAGTTATCATTATAGGAGACTCAATATGAAACAACATGCTGATCATTTCGAATTATGCGCATCTTTTGTTGTTGTTTGTTTTTATTTCTTTACTAGAAGTTTTTAGACAGTATGATGATTTATTTAAGAAAAAAAATCAAAAAGGTATATTACGCTTGCCCACCCCCTCCCCGTGAATTTATTTATTCCTGAATGAAGAGTTGTCGCAATCGTCTTCTTGAGAAGTTTTCATCTCAACCCCCCCCCCCCCCYCCCCTTCCTGATAAATATTGCGCAGTCCCTTACTGCGCATGATCGGCAGGATCGATGCAGCATGCATATGGAGCATCATGCATTCAACATTCCAGCGTGAAAGGTCGTCTTGCTGCTCAGTTGGGCTGACCAACGTAACTGAGAGGTGACTGATAGCAGAGGACTAATACTCGAAAATACTGGCAGGGAATTACAAGTATTCAACGCCTCAAGAACGTAGTAAGTTGCTCACAATACTTAGCAACGAATTTGATATTGATACCAATATTGATAACGCTAAATTCAAAGTTATTAATAAGCAAACGGCAGTCTCAGTGGACTTTCTATCGACGACACGCTGTTCTGTAGTCCCCGAACGAGTAGGACGACGCAGAGGAAAAGGAAAAAGCAACTCAAACGATAAATGTTTTTAATACTACTTGACATCTAAAATAGTAATTGGGGGATATAGATTTCAGTAGTAGCTGTGTCAGTAGAATATACACGTGTTGACTATTTATTTATTAATTTAAATTATTTATTATTTATTATATTTATTAACTATTTATTGGAAATTTTAACTCTTTTATCATCCATTGCCTGTCTAAATATGTTTGAAATGAATTTAGATAAAATACATTACTTTTCGGACCCTTTTCTGGCAATCTCATTCATCTCAGCTGGTTTCCACGTGGACTTCCTGATTGCGTCCCGTCATCCATTGAGCGCTTCATAAGCAAAATGGCGCGAAGTGTGCGTTTTGATTCTTCTGCATTTTTTACGAGTTAACGATTCTTTGCATGCCATGCAGCTTCTAATTTGGCTAATTATTTTGATACGGGTTTGCAACAATGTTAACGAAGACGCATATGGACATATGGTAACTATTGTGTGTGCTACGCCATTTCTTTTAAACAGTCACCTTATTAAGCTTAAGCTTTATTTAGCTTACTTACCCAAGCTTGAACAAAAGACTTTGTGTTAGTATGACAGTTGATTTTTAACTTCATAGTTAAGTTATATATACAATCGGGGAAGATTCCCTCAAAAGTGTTGTATTGTTATAATAATAGATACAACATGGCTTAAGTTACTTATCCTTATTTTATTATATACTTACTTAATTAAGCTTAAATCTAAGTGAATTTTTGACAAGGGAGCTAGCTGTCTTTGCAGCCAGGTCCCCTGGGTGTTTGTAAGCTTAGTAACAGTTTGAACTGGATGGTTCTAGTCTCCATGGACAAGGATTTGGACTGACTGCATAGCAATTTGTCAGTGCTTAATTAACTTCATTTTGATTGACTTATTCAGAAATCATGCATGGATGAGGAGCCGATGGGTTCCTGGGAGAAATATATCTGTTCTTATGTCCCTTTTTTAAACCTACTTATATAGTGCAAGGGTGTGGTCTTTTAATGTTATGTTTAACACTATTTGTATTTGCTCTCCCTTTTGAGAGAACACGATCGTCGGAAGAAACTCCAACAGTTCAAGTGTCAAAATTGTTGAAGTGACCTACAATGGCACTCCCGAACATAAGCCATTTTGCGACATCTCAACTACTTTGAAAAGGTGAGTTTAAATTTGACATGAGAATTCTTATCGACGTTGTAGGGCCTGATTTGATGAAGCAGTGAGGGTGGCGTTGTTCAACGGGCGGGTTTCATTTGTTTTTCTTTTGTATAAAACAAAATAAATCAGACCGCTCAATGAGGCTAGCCAACTTCATACTGAAAATCAGGGTCTTAGTTCTGCATTGATATTTTGAACCATGATTAATCGACTAGTATATTTGCATAGTTTTTTGTTTGTTAATTTTTGTGCATTTTCTTTTTAATTTCTAGTTGCAATACAGCCTGTAGAGTCTATACTCATGATGGAACAAAGGTAGACACCTTTTAAGAAAGACAATCATTTTCTTATTACAACATTTCCATTTCTTTTTGGAAAACATTTATAAATTAATATAAAATTGCATAATGCAAAATTAATTATGTAGACCCAGAGAAATTTTTAAAAAAATTAAAAACTGCCTAAAACCATGTAACGTGACAGCAACCATCAAGATACAAAAAGAGACGAACAAAATTATTGAAGTGACTTACAGTGGAACTCCAGAACACAAGTCATCTTTCGACATGTCCACTATACTGGAAAGGTTAGTTTAAATTAAATTTGACATTAAAATTCTTATCGACATCGTAGGGCCTGATTTTATGAAGCAGGGTGGCCTTGTTCAACGGGCGGGTTTCATTTGCTTTTTCTTTGTAGGGGACGTAAAACAAAATAAATCAGACCGCTCAACGAAGCTAGCAATCTTGATACTGAAAATCAGGGTCTTAGTTCTGCATTCATATTTGAACCATKGTTAATCTAGTATATTWRTTGCATTTTTATAAGTTTTTTGTTCGYTAATTTTTGTGCATTTTCTTTTTAATTTCTAGTTGCAATGATACTCAATTGGAACAAAGAAAGACAATCATTTTTTTTAATGTTTGTTAGCCACAACATTTCCATTTCTTTTTGTAAAACATTTATGAATTACTTATATAAAATTGCATAATGCAAAATCTATTATTTAGAGACAGAGAATTTTTTTTAAAAAATAAAAAAGGCATGAAATGGTCTATGACTGAGTTAATTTGTATGTRTTTACTTCAAGGTCTCATGATGACTCATTGGATCATGCAGATGATGAGGATGCTCAGTCAGATGCACCYGAGGTGCCTYTCTCCGCATCGCCAATCTCGAGGTCAGTATACATAACTAATAMAAGCCATTTTCCAAAACAAGCAGTTGTAGTCCTCACAAKTTTTTAAGTCCSCTAAAATTTTCTCCAAAGSCATTTTATCTTTTTCTTTGTGAATTAGTTATGCTGTTTCTGTCAAGACATATTTCAAGTTCTAGCGAGTGATATGTATAACAAGCACATTATTTTTTAAGTTTAAACCACATTCTGTACTCTTCACTTTGATAACAAAGGAATAAAAAACATTGGTAATTCTTGCTACATGGGGGCGACGCTCCAGCTCCTGGCTGGAGACCAAATTGTCTCCAAAAGCCAAGAAGGTGAGGACATTTTCTATCACCTATTTAAAAAAAAAACGAATGGCGATTGTCGACGGGAGAATACAAGACTGAAAGGGACTATGGTACGTTATACGGTTTTTACAAACAAAATTTCACTTGGATGGATTCACCTTCCATAAGTAATGGAGACTAAATGGAGCCAATGTTAATGTAAATCAGTTGTTATTTTTCATCAATTAGCAAAACCCATTACTACGTTCTGTCGTGCAATCGCCATACAAAGATTGACATTACCTATTTGACAAATGTTTTTGAAAAAGGCATATTTCAACTCGAAAAGGTCTTATTCCTAATGTCAGTTAAAGATGCTTGCATGGCTTGCAATGTAATATTAATATTCAACGTTTCCTTCTACAGAATTCATTGAAAAGCATAAGGAGCAGAGTTTTTTAGCCACTCCCCAAGATGATTCCTCGATAGTTGAGGTACGACCTCAAATCGAGGAGCTTGAGGGAGTGGTCAACACTCTGCTCTCTATCAAAGATCAAAAGACTGAAGTGCAGCCTTCAAAAATAATGGTATGATGATCTAGATTAGCTGGACACTTAGTAATTTCAATGCTAGTAAGAGTGGTCAGAATTTCTGCATATTACTGTATATACATACTAATTTATAACTCTGTTTATTGTATATTGTTTATATATACTGTCTGATGAGTGCGTAGCACGAAACTTGGAGTAACAGCAAAATCTTGCCTCTTTGATATCATATATATAACTAGCTCTACACTGTATGTGTATTGAGCACTCTTTAATGTGATCAGCTACTTCCTCATACGTTTATATATATATAATGTATATAAATTGTACAAATGTTGGGGATAAACTGATGTTGTCCAACTTTTTATTGGCACTAACGTTTCGGCGTTACGCCTTCTTCAGAGTGCGATTACAATTGAAGGGGCGGATGCGAAAACGGCCTAAGTGACGATTTAGGGTATTTTTGAAATTTTCGAAAAATTAAAAAAACATCATTCCAATCGCTTATTTTAAGTCTAAATAACCTTATTTAGTACTTATTTCTCCTGATTTCTTTCCAAAAAGAGCAAAAAAGGACCCATAGTTACCGACTTCTTTGGCTTGACAACTGATCGCTAGACCGTAAAATATCCTAGATTTGCATATTCGCGCTAAACTCATGACTTTGACAGTTGGTTTGTCGGTTTGTTTTGGTTCGAAGCTGTGCTGCAAGAAGTCGAGAAATGAGTTTTTTTCGCGGTTTTCTCAGCCTTTTTGCCTTTAGTCACTACTCTACGGACATCATTAAGTTTGTAGGTAGCGAAGGAGCTTACTTGCTGAAAGAATCCAGCTTGGTGTGTGACTTTTTAAGCGATTTTGATTCCGCGGTTCATTCGATTAACTCGGACAGTCGCTTGAAGAGAATCACTTAAAAGACCGTCTAAAGGCAAATCCTTGGAGCTGCCACGGTAATTTTTGGATGTTTTGGCTATTGAGGAACAAAAGCGACTTGAAATTTTGGCAGATTTCCGAGAAGGCTGT